CTAAGATATTTAATTTGTTTCTTCAGTTCTTGTAACTTTTCATGGTAGAGATCTTTCACCAACGTTAAATTGACTCCTAAGTATTTTTTAAGCTATTGTGAATGGAATTGTTTTCCTTATTTGTTTCTTAGTTAGTTCATTATTGCTAACTATGGAAGTTATTGAGGTTTGTTTGGTAATTTAGTATCCTACCATTTTGCTGAACTTGTTTATAAGACTCAGGGGTCTTCTCATTGACTTTTTAGAGTTTTCTATGTGAAAGATATGTCTGTAAACAGAAATATTTGATTTCTTTCTCTTGCATAATTGCCCTGGCTAACATTTCAAGTACAATAGTGAACAAACGTAATAAAAGTTGACATCTTTGTTTCATTCCTGATTTGAGACAACATGCCTTCAATTTTTATCCCACTCAGTATAATTTTGTCAATGGTTCATTATATATAGTTCTTATCAATTTGGAGAAGATCCTTCCATATCTATTTTGTCAGACTTTTTAAAAAAAATCCTGAAGAGGTGTTAGATTTTGTTGAAGGCCTTTGTTTTTCTGCATCTATTGAGATGATCATGTAATTTTTTAGTCTTGATTTTACTTATGTGGTGTACTACTTTATTGATTTACATATATCAAAACATCCTTGCATCCCTGTGAAGAAACCAACTTGGTCACAATGTACAAATTTGTTAGTGTTTTGTTGAATTTTCTTTTTAGAAATCTTCTTTTTGAGAATTTTTGCATCTATGTTCATCAAGAATTTCAGTTTATAGATTTCTTTTTTGTTATTGTTGTTGATTTTGCCATCAGGACAGGCTAACATTTGAATTTGGGATCATTCTGTTTCTATTTCATAGATAAATTTAAGGAACACTGGTGTTTTTCATATATATATATTCTGTGTTCCTTTACTGTGACAAAATATCTGAGAGAAATTAACTTAAAGGAGAAAGGTTTATTTTGGTTCATAGTTTCAGTTCCTGTCTCCTTGATTCCACTGTTTCTGAGCCCATGATGAGGCAAAGGCAGAGGATGGTGGTGAGAGGGTGTGGTGCAGCAGATCTGCTCACTTCCTGGCAGCTGGGAAGGAGAGAAATATATATCAGTATTGATAATGATATGTGTGCCTATGCATCTATCTATTTACAGAGAGATATCCTAGTATCCTCATCCTTCAACAAGGCTTCACATCCTAAGGTTTCCACCACCTTCCAGTAATGCTGCCCACTGGGGCCTATGCCTCCAACAGTGAGCCTTTGAGGAACATCCCAGATTTAAACCAGAACAATATCCCAATTAATGCAGTCATTCATTCCCTCTACTTATGTATTGTGAGTAGTGATTTGACTATATGTGTGCAAATACCTGTTCACAGACTTACTTTCAATTATCTAGAAATAGAATTGGATCTCCATATAAGTAGGCTCTACATTCAAGGATTCAATAAAATGTAGATAGAAATGATTTGGAAAAAATATCTAGAAAATTCAAAGAAGCAAAACTTGAATTTGTTGCACACTGGGTGCTGTGCTGAATCTGCATAAATGAAGTGCTGAGTCGGTGTGGGCTTGCTGTGATTTCTTTCATTGCACAGATTTGCAGTTTTTGCTTTGTGTCTGGTTTGTGTACTATGTAGGTAGGCCTGTGAGGGTTGCGTCTGTCCTGAACATATATAGATTTTTTTCTTTTCATCTTTTGTGAAACAATGGTGTATAACAATGATTTGTGCTGTATTCACATTGTATTACACATCTAGCCAGGACTTGAAGCACACAAGATGCTGCACATAGGTTATAAGCAAATATTACATCTTTTTTATATAATAAGCACCTATGGATTTTGTTGTCTGTAGGCTCATGAGACCCAGTTTCCCATAGATACTGGGGAGTTTTCCAAATTTTAAAGGAAATTTTCTATACAGTTTTCTATAGCTGCTATACTTTGTAATTTGCCAATAGTGTATAAAGGTCTTGATTTCCCTATACCTTCATCAACACTTGCAATTTTATTTCTTTTTTTAAAATAGTGACTACATTGACAATGTAATATGATATTGTGGTTTTGATTTTCATTTCTCTAATAGTAACATTAAACATCTTTCTACATCTTTAAACATCTTGTTAGCAATTTATACATCATCGAAGAAATACTTATGCAAGTGCTTTGGCCATGTATTAAACCAGACTGTTTGATTTTTCTGTTTTTGAGTTGTAAGAGTTCTTTTTATGCTATGGGTATCAATCCCTTATCAAATGTATGGTTTGAAATCATTTTCTTCCATTCCTGTATATTGCTTTTTTACTCTATTGATTATACCTCTTGATATCTAATTTTTTACATTTGGTGTAATCCTATTTATTTACGTTTGCTTTTCTTCTTTATGCTTTTGATATTACATCCTAGAAATCATGTATTAAAATAAATGCATTGGGTACTTTATATTATATTTATATTATAATTAATAAATCACATGTTGAAGTTCAGTTTTTATTTTAATTTTTTCTTAGATGTTTATTTTTGTCTTTGAGGAATACTCTGTAAGATAAGTGATTAGATATAGAAGTATTGGCTCAATTTGAACAAAGGGAAGGTTTTATTCATTTATCCATCTCCAGTGCTTAGAACAGGAACTAGTATTATGTATGAAAAGATCAATAAATATTCACAGAGTGATGGAAAGGAAATGAACATATATAAATTTCTAAGATATAACTCTTGAACTGAGTTTCCAGAAACTGAGAAGACATTTGACCAGCAAACTGTGACAGACCCTGCTCACAACATCCTTCTCCCCAGTCATTTTCAAACCAGTATTTGGTAGACTGTAGTTTGGCCAATGAGATGCAAATGGAAATTTCCTGGGAGTGGCTTATGGGAAGGAGACTTCTATTTAAAAAAGGAAATATCAGTGGGCATACTGAGTGTCTTTTATTGTTCTTCTTGCATGGAAAATAGATGTAGTGCTTCAAATTTCAATGGCTCTTAAGACAGTGGAGTAACAAGCATACTAAGGAACTTCCTAAGCAAGTTCAAAGATAGAAAGGGCCTGAGTCCTTATTAGTATAATTGGACCATTGCACTGACCTTGGAATATCAACCTATGTACCTCTCTGTTTGTCTAGGCAACTGTTAGTTGCTTTTTTTGTTATTGATTGCCAGAGAAATTCCTAGCTGACTAGGAAAGCAGATGGAAAATACATTCACACAGATAAGTGAATGTGCCCAAATACTTGGGATTGTGAAATAACATGAAGTGTTAGGTAATCTGTAAGTAAATACATGAATTCAGGTTGGTTGGAATTTAAGGATAAAATTAGAGGAGCTGGAACATATTTTATGAAAGAATCTGGATTTCATTCTGTAGACAATGAAGGAAGAAGTTATATTGTTTATTTAATCAGATGAAAGACATCATCAAATACAAGGCACATCATTATTGAAAATATTAAAGAAGAATACTTTACCTAAATAAATGATGGCATTCCAATTAAAAACAGAACTTGGTCTCAGAGATTTGAAAATATATGTACCTTACAATCAGTGAAAACTGGTTATAGATAATTTGTATGAATACCATGTACGTATTGTGATAAGCACTTTGCTTTGATATTTCACTTAGTGCTTTCAACATTTTATGAATCATGTATCGGATTTTCCTTTCCATTTCATAGGTGGGAATTACAGGATCGCTCTAGGTTTCTTGCAAGATCAAATGCAAGGATACTCTTGTTAAATGCAAGTGAGGAAAAAGTAGAAGTGAGAGATTTAAACAAAGAATTTGAGGTTCTTTTGAGATATTTAGCAGGGAGTTGGGTAATGTTCAATAGTTAAGGGGAAAAAAGAGATGATTAATTAGATCGTCTGTTTGATCAATCAATATTTAAGAATCTACAGTAATGTAGGGAGCGGCTCAGAATGGCTGCTGCTGCCCTGCCCCTCCCACCTGAGGGCATTTTGTGCGTCAGCCTACATTTCCAATGATCCTCATTTCTGTCTACATCACCCATAATCCTCTCCTGCTTATGTCATATATCCAGATGTTCTGATGACCTATCAGATAACACTCTGTGCCCTCTTCCTGCCCCATTGGCCCGCATCCACCCTATATAAGTTGTAGCCATTTTAAGAATAAATGAGACTCGATTGGAATCTCAACCTGTCTCCACCTCTCTTTTCTCTTGCCCAGTCCTCCATCCCCATCCCTTCTCCAGGTGAGGCCCATGGACTGATCTGCGGGACGGATCAAGTGGCGCCCAATGTGGGGCAGACCTGGCACGAGGGATAATGACGCGGGACCGTTCATGGGGTTAAAGTGCCGGCTGGCGTGACTGTTTCAGGACTTCGTTCCTGTGATCTGTGCAGATGGCCACCTTACGTCTCACCTGAATCACGGTAGGTGAACGGGATTAGCATGGGCAAGCACTTAGTGAGCATGAATTTTTCATGAATGGCCTCAGGGAGGCACTCAAGATTAGAGAGATTAAGGTTAAAACAAAAGATTTCACATTCAGTGTGTCCATGGTTCCCCCTAGAGGGCACCATCGATTTAAAAAGGTGGAAAAGAGTAGGAGATGCTCTCAAGGACTATTATGAGGTTTTTGGCCCAAAAAGGAGCCCGGTAACTACCTTTTCATATTGGGTTTTAATCTCTGAGCTGCTGACACAATGTCACGCAGATCCCCAGAATGCAGAGATGCTCGCCCAGGGTGAGGTGCATTATCTGCTTCCTGCAGTTGTACTCCACCAACACCGGACTTATCTAAGGCACCCAGCCCTCCAGGCTCTGTTGTCCTTGATATCCTGGAGCCTTTTCAAGATGGTGACGTGTCACCACTCCCTTTGTCTGGAGGCCAGGAGAGTACTCAAAATGGCATGCACTGCCCTGATACTCAAAATGGCACTGCCTCTATACTGACTTTAGTGGTGAAAAAAAATAGGGGCTGGGTATTTAGCTCAGTGGCATAAGCACCTGCCTTGCAAGTCTAAGGTCGTGAGTTCAATCCCTGGTACCAATTAAAAAAAAAGTTGCCATTAGAGCTAGCGTGGTGGGTGCTGTGGTCCTTGTCGGGTTCCACCATGGCATACAGGGGCCAGACCCAGAAAGTGCAGAAGGTGATGGTGCAGCCCATCAACCTCATCTTCAGATACTTGCAGAATAGTTCCCGGATTCAGGTGTGGCTATACGAGCAAGTGAATATGCACATAGAGGGCTGTATTATTGGTTTTGATGAGTACATGAACCTTGTATTAGACGATGCAGAAGAAATTCATTCTAAAACCAAGTCAAGAAAACAACTGGGTTGGATCATGCTGAAAGGAGATAATATTACTCTGCTGCAAAGTGTCTCCAACTAGAAATGATCAGTGAATTAAGACAGCAGTGAGAACCAATAGCAGGCAATTAAGATAAATGTCAATTACAGTATTACCCATATAAAAAGGCAGCTGATTAAGTGGTTTGCCTTGGAGGTATTTGTAAAATGTTTGTTCATATTGTTTTGTCTACCCTTATGTTTTTACTGGGGGCAATAAATGTAGGGTTGTTTTTATTAAAAACAAACAAACAAAAAAAAAATGACGCTGCCACGTTCCCTTCTCCGTACTGCCCTATCTACCCTGGAAATGGGAGATTATCCATTCTTACAAGTCGAGCTCAAAAAAAAAAAAAAAAAAAAAAAAAGAAAAGAAATGGGAGCTTAGTCGCTGGAAAGACCAAGAGGTGGTTTGGACTTGGGTAGGATCAGGAAGTCCATGGTTTGCGCCCACACCCTGTTGGTTCTTTCTGGGGCTCCAATGTCCCAGACAAAGTCAATTCTACCTTTGTCCTGTAGCAACAGGGGGCAGATCATATTGTAATTCCCCGGGAGAATATTTTTGTGCTCATTGGGGCTATGAAACAGTTGCAACAGGATGGCAACCCGCCTTCCCGATAAACACCTTAAACTGACATTGGAGCCACTGGGGTGCAGCCTAGATGACTACCCACTGGCCAATCAAAGACCCTGTCAAGTTCTAAATGTCACTGTCACCACTCCTGAAGACCCTGGGTGGCTGACAGGACACACCTGGGGACTTCGAGTTTATGAGTCAGGCAAAGACAGGGGAAATCTTATTCTCATAAAAAGGGTTTCTCTACAGATTTCATCCATCCCCATAGGTCCAAATCCTGCTCTAAAGCCACAATATAATCCAAATCCAAAATACAATCAGTCCAATACAGATCCTGTTACTGTTGTTCAAACAACCACAGTAAGTCACCCAACCATAAGTGTTTCTCAAGTCCCCTCACACCAGGCAGATCATATACCTGCCTCTCAATATTCACATTCTAACCTATTCAGTTTGATTAAAGGGGCATACATGGCTTTAAATCATACCCAACCTGATCTCACCCAATCCTGTTGGTTATGCTTGGCTGCTCCTTCCCCATACTATGAAGGAAAGGCCCTCAATTTAACCTTTAACAGTTCTCCTAGCTCATCTGCCTGTGACTGGGGCAATCACCACAAGCTGACTCTCCCTGACGTCTCAGGTAGAGGGACTTGTCTTGGGGACTCCAGCCATCCACCAGCACTGGCAGCATGACTCTGTGCCCAGCTTCATTCAGAGTTCAAGCCAAATAATTACCTCATTCTACCCCCAGGAACATCTTGGGCTTGCAATTTTGGCCTTTCTCCCTGTATAGCAACTACTGTTTTTAACAAGTCTACAGATTTTTGTGTTCTTGTACAGGTTCTTCCTCACATAACCTTCCACCCAGGAGACTACTACCTCCAGGCATTGCAGACTGGCTATATATATATATGAGAGAACCTGTGACACTCACCTTAGCTGTATTGCTAGGGTTAGGAGTTGCAATGGGAATAGGAACAGGGACTACAGCTCTAGTGTTGGGAAATCAGCATCTAGCTCAATTAGAGGCAGCAGTAGATCAAGATTTATGCGAAATAGAGACATCTATAACGGCTCTACAAAAGTCCTTAATATCCTTGTGTGAAGTAGTCTTACAAAATAGGAGAGGGCTAGACCTCCTATTTATGAAGGAGGGTGGCTTATGTGCTGCCCTCAGGGAAGTGTTGTTTTTATGCTGACCACTCAGGAGTCGTCAAAGAGTCCATGAATAAACTAAGGGAGCATCTCAAAGAGAGAGAAAAAGAGCACCTCAGAGAAACCACCTTCTCCTCCATGTGGGGGGGGGTCTCTTCCCTTACATTGCCCCCCTCTTGGGACCCCTAGCCACCTTGCTGTTACTGCTTACTGTAGGACCTTGTATTTTTCAGAGGATCATGATGCTCATTAATAACGTTAATAACAGGATTGACACATTTATGGCAAAGCCCATTCAGGTACATTACCACTGGTTGGAAATGGCAGAACAACAAACTTATTGGGAAAGAACACCCACTGACGGCCCACATGATACTGTGGCCCAAATACCCTGAGGCACTGGACAGGCAGCCAGAGACGGGCAATTAGGACACATATGTAGCGCCAATCAGCCACCTAAGACAGGCCCAGGACCAACAGCTGTCCTGCAGGCCCACGACGGGTAAGGCTCGATTAGGTTCATATGAGGAGTCCTTGACCCAAGACAGGCACTGTCCTCCCAGGGCCTGCCATGTTCCTAAAAAATATATAATTATAAGGGAGGAGATGCAGGGAGCAGCTCAGAATGGCTGCTGCTGCCCTGCCCCTCCCACCTGAGGGCATTTTGTGTGTCAGCCTACATTTCCCATGATCCTCCCCTTGCCTACAATGCGCATGACATAAGCAACTTCCTGCTTCAGCCTACATTTCCCATGATCCTCGTGTCTGCCAACAATACCCATAATCCTCTCCTGCTTATGTCATATATCTGGATGTGATGATGACCTATCAGATAACACTCTGTGCCCTCTTCCTGCCCCATTGGCCCACCTCCAACCTATATAAGTTGTAGCCATTTTAAGAATAAATGAGACTCGATTGGAATCTCAACCTGTCTCCATCTCTCTTTTCTCTTGCCCAGCCTTCCATCCCCGTCCCTTCTCCAGGCAAGGCCCACGGATCGATCTGCGGGACAGATCACAGTAAACCAGAGTCAATAGTAGGAAGCCCTAGGGATGTTATGGCAGGTACAACAATCAAGTGAGGAAGAAGGATATAATTTAGCCAGTCCACAACTATTTTAAAGTATATTTTGCATTGTCTTATTTAACAAAACACATTAAATCTTTCCCACTGGAGAACTTAATTTCTGTGGAAAAATATAAACTAAAGTATATGAATGAATAAGTAAGAGGTTTCATATCATGATGATATTATGAGTAAAAAGAGTTTTTCCCCCATCCCCAAACCAGATGTTTTGAGTTCTTTCAAGAAGATTTGACCTACACTGTGTGTCTGAGGAAGACTTCTCCTAAATTATGACCTGTAAGCTGAGAATTTATTTCATTCCCACAGAGGAGAGAGCAAGATATACAGTAATGTAAGTAAAGGAAAGCATGCAGATGTCATCAGATAGAAACAAAATTATCATGAATGGAGAGAGTGCCAGCAAAAGAAACATCTTCTCCAGGGAGGGGAAGAGTATGGGGAACATTATCAGGATGAAAATGCAAATGTGGAAAAATACAAATGATAAATACAAAAGTCACTGAAATAATGAAAATGTGCTAAGGACAAGGAGCACAGAACTAACTGCCCAATAACTTCAACATTTAGAAGTTTAAGGGAGAAGAGAAAAAAAATCAACAAAGTGTTCTATGAAAGAGGAGCTGAAAAAAGAAGCAAAAAGTGTTATTTTGGAGAATTCAAAGTGGACATTGTTCAAGGAAATATAGGTTAAATTATTGGGCTTTATGTCCTCAGAATCAGTGTTGGTAAAATGGAAAGTAACTTGGTAGAGCTCCTAGCTAGATGTTGCCTGTCCTTGTCTCAACTGTCATGGCAGGACAGGGGACTGTGGAGTTTATGGTGTTTGGGAGGATGACACAATTTTTCTTCTCTCCATCCTTCCCACTTCAACTGTCTGACTGTAGTCTTAAAACAGAGTTTATAAATCAAGTCTCCTCAAGACAGAACATCAAATTAAGACCACATTCACTCATGACTTCTTTTTACTTTAGATGCTGTGAAAACTCCAAGACATCCAGGTGTTTCTCTCTTACTTTCTTTCTCTCTCTCATTTTATTTTATTGTGGTAAAAAAACTTACTGTGATTTTAATGTATTTTAAAATGTGCAATGATCAACAACTGGGATGTCATAGTACTAAAAGGCTTTTGCACTTCAAGAGAAATCACCAACACGGTGAAAAGAAAACTCATAAAGTGGGAAAGAATTTTAGCCAACAATTCCTCAAAGGACTTATATGCAGAACATATAAAGAACTGAAAAACATCAAGCCCCCCAAATGCAAAGACCCAATCCAAAAATGGGCATTGAAGATGAACACAGTTCTCAGAAGAAGATATACAAATGGCAAATAAATACATGAAGAAATGTTCACTATCACTGGTCATTTGAGAAATGCAAATTAAAATGGCACTGAGATTTCATCTCACCCCAGAAAGAATGGCTGCCATCAAGAAAACAACTGATAAGAAATGTTGGCAAGGATGCAGGAAAAAAAAAAACACTTCTCCACTGTTGGTAGGAGTGGAGACTGGTGCAACCACTGTGAAAATCAGTATAGAGATTCCTCAAAAATCTAAGATTGGAAGTTCCATTCAATCTAGCTATTCCTCTCCTGGGTATTTTCCCAGAAAAGTTGAAAACATCATGTCACAGAGATATACTTGCATCCATGTTCTTAGCAGCACAATTTGTGATAGCTAAATCTTGGAAACAACTAAAATGCTCATCAACTGCAGAGTGAATGGAAAAGATGTGGTATTTTTATACAATGGAATGCTATTCAGCTATAAAAAGGATGATCTTGAGGCCTTTATAGGTAAATGGAGGCAACTTGAAAATATCCTCATTAGTGAGATAAACAAGACTCATATGAGTAAATATCACATTGTCTCTCTAATGTGAAAACAATAAAAACTGATAGAATAATGGGATCTCAAAAGTATAATAGATACTGTGAAGGTGAAAGGGAATGTAAGTGCTCTAAGGAATTTAATGGTATGTCTGGTGTGTAAGGTAGATAACCATATTACTGAATTTCTGTTGGAATACCGAACAGAAGGATTTGCACTGTCAATGTTTGAGTGTCTAGCCACTATGTATGCTTTGATTTTGTCATTGGCAACTATTTTTTAATATGACAATGTGTAATGTATCAACTAGTGATTCTATGATGATTTTTTTGAATTCAGTATTGTTCTACCCTTCTTTTCTATTTTTCTATTTCCTTTTTTTAATTTTAAAAAGGTATAAGATTAAACATAACAAAATAGAACAAAACAGATCATAAGGAAACAATTTTAAGAAACGGATTTC